AAGAAAACTAAGTTCAACATCTATTACATCTATGCTGAGGATTTAGGTCAGATCCATTCATGCTTCTGGGTTGTCTTTTCAGTCTATGTGACCCATTATATGCCCAGGTTGGATGGTTTGTGGGTTTTCTTGTGGTATACTTTTACAATCCTTCCTCCAGCTCTTCTGAATGATTCTTTGAAGTCTGTATAATGTTTGGCTGAGAGTCTCTGTATCTGTTTCTATCAGTTGCTCAATGAAGCTTCTCTGATGACAACTGAGTTAGACTCCAGTTTGTGAGAGTAAGTATAGCAGACTGTCATTGGGCATCATTTCACTAAGGGTGCTTTTTGTTTGTTCATTTGGTTGTTTGTTTTGTTCTTGGCACAGGTGACAACTTGTCAGTCAGACATCATTAGAGCAGGCACTAGTTTCCACAACTAATAAATGAGACCTCATGAAACTGACAAGCTTCTGTAAGGAAAATGATACCAACATTAAGACAAACAGCAGCCTGTAGAATTGATAAATATTTTCATCAACCCCACATCTGAAAGATGCCTAATTTCCAAATATATATAAATAACTAAAGAATGTAGGCCTGAAGGTGATCTAATGACAGACATTATAGGTTTTGGTGGACAGTGAGCTTAAGGGCTTCACCTAGCTAATGTAAAGACCCTACTGTGTGAGTTGCATCACATTAACTGCTGTATGTTTTGAGGGGATCACTAACACTTATCTCGCACTATAATTTCATATAGATCACTTTCAGGCCTGCATATATTTTAACAAGCTTTTATTATATTAGCTTACCATACTACCCCTTCATCTGGCCCTAAATTTTATGTGTCTCTTCATATTCCCTCATTCACCTCACCCTTCCCTTACTCTATACACTTTATTCTCCTGTTCCAGTTCTCTGTCTCTTATCCATCCATAACTCGATTATACTCATCTTCCCTACAGGGGTCTATCTCTCTTCATCTAGTTCCTTACTCTCTACCTAATCTCTGAGCTAACTGCTTTGGTTGTTCAAAGCCTCATGTTGCCTGATCGAAACAGTGTGACATGGTTCCTGTCACTAGGACAAGATCTCAGTGTGAGCTTCCATAAATGTCAACGGCTACTGTGGGCATAAGCTTTGTTTGTGTAATACTGTACATATTTTCACATTCCTCCAAGAAATATATTGTCTGTTAACTTTAATGGCTCCATGAGAATTAGAAACAGCACAAATCCAGAAGTTGAGGGTATAGCTATGTCTCAGCTAAATGGGGAACAGTGGGACCTTCAGAACAGCCCTTAAGTTTATGGGAAAGAGCCACTAATGCAAAACGTAAATACATTTCATCATTTCATGAATTCTAAATATAAATAATTTCTTAACTATGCAAAAACATAAGGGTGCACTATGAATTACAAGGACTTCAAGAATATAAAGGAACAAAGGCAGCTACACTATGAGCCATCTTGGCAGCAAGATACAATGACTAGCAGATTCCTGAGTTCAAGATCAGCTTAAGATAGAACCAGTTATGGTCGAAATGGTAATTTAAGGACAGGGTTCCACCCAATTCAATTAGCTTATCATCTGTGCTGAACAAATGCAGACAGATCTCTGCATTCTTTTGCAATGTTAAGAAAAATATGCATGCTTGCTGTCTCTTAAGAATCAAAGGTCTGGCTTCATTGGATGTTGACTCATAAGACAACCAAAAGGAAACATAAAGTAAGTTATTGGGTTGATATATAAAATAATAGACTGGACCTGTGCTCTGCAAGAGATGAGCTATCAAGAGAACTTTTTAGGATAAAAAAAAAAAAAACTATCTGGAGTTCCCACATTGATGAGTCTGTTGCCAGCTTCTCTCATCTTGGGAGCATATATATATGGGGGTTTCTCACAGGACACTCCTAAACTTTGAGAGTCCACACCCTAAGTCCCACCCTCCAAGCTTGCTTCTGGAACACAGTAATCCCTCTCCCTGTGTCTCTACAATGGGGTATCCCAGGAGTCAAGGCCTGTCACTAATTTACAGGAATCAAAGACAAGATACAGTCACCAGGTATAAGGTGGATGTTCCTCTGTAGTAGACCAAGCTATATCCCTGTGGCTGATAATATTTGCCAAGTCACATTGATAGGGTTGTGAAGGGTGGTGAGGCTCAGTGCAGGAAGGAAGCTACACCATAGCTAGCTCATGGTTTCTCTGGTCTTGCAGAGAGCTGGGTGATCTTGAGCTTGAGGGGGTTGCATCAGGCCCAGGTGCTAGTCTGATGTGAGTTACTCCATCCACTTTAACAGCAGTCAGGGTTATCAACACTAGGAATGGCCCTTTCCACTTCACTTCCAAGTTTTCAGCAAGATGCCTCATAACATATACCCAATCTCCAACTTGGTACTTGCGTGGAATCTCTGGGATGTGTGTATTATACATGGCATTTAGGCCACAATTCCTGTTGGCTGATCTGGAAAGCTTGTAATTGAGCCATAAGATCCTTATCAGCCTGAAAAGTCACTGGGGGGTTGTGTGTGTGTGTGTGTGTGTGTGTGTGTGTGTGTGTGTGTGTGTTGAGAGCTGAGGTTGAGTGAGTGAGTGTCCCATACAGGATCTCGAAGGGAGTTAGATTTGAAATGATAGAGGATATTTCTGGCCCTAAACAATACCGTGGGTAGAAGTACCACCCAGTCTGCACCAATCTCTAATGACAATTGGGTTAAGGTCTCCTTCAGGTTCCAGTTCATCCTTTCTACCAGCCCTGAACTTTGGGGACAGAATACACAATGGAGTTTCCAATCTGTCCCCAGAAATTTACCCACTCCCTGGCTTACCTGAGAAACAAAGGCTGGCCCAGTATCTAAGTCGATGGTTCTAGGCATATCAAATCAAGGAAGTATATCCTCTAGTATCATCTTCATTACTACCTGTGCGGTTTCTCTCTTGATGGGGTAGGTTTCTACCCATGCAGAAAAAGAATCTACAAAGACTCGGAGGTACTTATACCAATATTTTCCTGGTCTGACTTCAGTAAAATCAACTTCCCAAAATACTCCAGAACAGTTACCCTTTAGCCATTTTCCAGATTGTGCCTTAGAAGCTTCACAATTTCTGCCTATCATGTCTCCTAGTTATCCTAATTTTAAAATAACTATACCCAACTCCTTGATCAACTGTTCCAGTTTTCTACTCCCAAGGTGGGTGTATCTGTGCATTTTTGTAAGCAGTTCAAGGGTCTGAAGTTCTAGTAGGATGGTTTTTCCCTCCTATGTCTTCCAATGTCTACTTTTGTTGAAATAGTGGGACACCCTTTAATCAGCTTAAGTTCAGAATCAGCATACCCAGGTGATGGCCAGTCTTTTCTAAGTTCCAATGTGGGCTTTCTCTCCTGGGTGGTGGTTTGTCAAGAGAATAGTCTTTATTTCTTTTATTGCTACTTCCTTTGCCACCCAGTCTGTCAAGTGGTTCCCACTAGCTATCGGGTCCTCACCCTTCTGGTGCCCAGGGCAATGGATTATATTCACTTTTGCCAGTTTAAAAAGGGCTTGTAGTAGGGCAAATATCTCTGGTTTGTTCTTGACAATCTTGCCTTCTGATGTTAGGAGTCCCTACTGCTGATAAACAGCCCTATGCACACTCGCAGTCCCAAAGATTTACCTGCTATCTGTGTAGATGTTAAGTCATTTACATAGTCCCGAGTACCGTGCTTATTTACAGGCAACAGGGTGTGTTCTAAGCAGCGTGGCACTTTTGCAGGGCACCCAATTTTAGCAGCCTGTCAATGTGAAGCTTAATACCAACTCCTGACTCCTGCGACATCAGGTACTAGCGCACTAAGACAGGATCATCCTGGGATTGAAGCTTCACATTCACAGGGGCCTACAGACATACATGTCCTAGCCCAGCTGTTTCAGCCTAAGCAAGAGGAAATCGAGTGCTATCATCTCTCTTTTGGGTTTTGGTCTCAAACAACTTGTATTCGCCCTCCAGTCTAATAGTAAAGACCGGACAGATTCTCCAGGAACATCCCCCACCACCACCACCTCAATTGAGGGCCCTCAGGAAGGAAATGGATCTGAGCCCCCGACTTGAAGAGCAAACTTCTCCCAAGAAAGAGATAGGGGCAGTCAGGGATGACCATGAATGAGAGGGATATCCTGCCCATGCCTAGGTCTACAACTCTTAGGGTAGTCCATGAATATTGTTTAGTCCCAGTGGCCTTTTGGACCCACAATTTTTTGCTAAAGACTAGCTTATCAGCTTGTAGGAAGACCAAGTGTTGAGCCCAGTATCCACCAAGAGTTGGGTGGGTTTCCCCTCCAATTTCAAGATTACCCTGGGTTTGGGGAGGGGGTCTGAACTCTGTCCTCCCTAGTTGCTGTCATCCCCCAGGGCTAACACCTTAGCCATTTGGGGGTGCTTTTCCCAAGGTCTGGGATTTCTTGCCTCTGGCTTTCCTTTGTTAGGGTGTTCTCGGGCCCAGTGGCACCTCTCCTTGGAACATGCACACTGGTCCTTTTCATGGGGTTTTCTGTCTTTTTTTGATTGGAGTATCTCTTCAATGTCTTTCCCTAACTACTGTAGCCAAAATTCTCTGTAAATTCCTTTCCTGATGCTTTTCTTTTCTTTTATCTCCCTTTCATCTTCTTCTTTGCTCTTTCACTACTCCTACTCCTCTATCTCCCTGTTATGGTGGACTTTCTCAGGAACCTTCACTAAATCCCTTTCCTGTAGTCCGTCTAGCCTCTGAAGCTTTTTCTTGACATCTCTACTAGCCTGGTCTATAAAAACCATAGTCACAGTAGCTTTGTGCTCCTTGCTGCTGGGATCATAGTGTGTACATTGATGGAATGCCTCCACGAGCCACTCTGGAAAGACAGCAGTCGACTCATCATATCCCTGTCTAACTTCACATATGTTGATCAAATTTGTGGACAACTGCCTTGAGACCTACCAACAGGTCCTGGTGGTAGATCTTCAGGTGCTCTTTACCTTTGGCTGAAATAAAGTTCCAATCAAGTCGGGTTAAACGGAATCCTGTGTCAATGACTGCTGGGTTTGCTGAGGGAGCTCCCCCCCCCCCCCGTGTCCAAGGGCACATTCTTTTGGGTCACATTGAGGATTCTTTCTCTCTCCTCAGTGGTGAAGAGGACTCACATAAGCTGTTGTATCTCATCCCAAGTGGGTTGATGGGTAAACAGGACAGCTTCAAAGAGATTAATAAAACCTTCAGGATTATCTAAGAAAGGGGGATGCTGAGATTTCTATTTGTACAGGTCAGCAGACGAAAATGGCCAATATTGCATAGTCTGATTGCTCTTATTGTCTAGAGGTCCTTATGCCTTCAGAGGGAAGGCTACTGTGGTATCAGGGGAGGTAGCTCTCTGACTTCAGGTCCCCTTGGGAGGACCAGGAAGTTGGGGTCTCCTCCCACTCCTCCCTCCTGTAAAGAGGGGTATAATGGCGCTGGAAGCATATGGGCCACGAATGCCAGGGCCAGTGCTGGCTCTGGCAAGGCTGTGGGGAAAAGAGTAGGTGTATAAGGAGGAGGAGGGTCTTGGAACAACAGGTCCAATGTTGAAGGGTATTAGAGGATCGACTTCTTCTCAGGTCCAGATCTCTCTTCCCATGTTTTCTTTTTCCTGATGGCCAGAACCTGTGAGGTGGGTATTGGGGAAAGAAAGGCTTTTAATACATGGGGTGGGGGACCTCTACTCCATTCTTCCATGTAAATATATAGGGCACTTGGCCTGTGTGCCCAAGGGATACTGGCCTAAAGACTCTTTCCTCTCATGCTTTGATCACCTGCAAGTTGAAGGTCCCTACGGGTGGCCGCTCTATTCTAAAGGTGGGCCATTCAGAGGAACAGAGAGTAACTAACTTGTCCTTCTTTACTACTGGTGACAAGTTTTCTCCTCTTTCTCTAACTTCCCTCCAGTGGTTAAAAAAGATATTTAACAGGGTAGATGCAGTCTGTCCTATGTCCAAATATAATGTAAGTCTAAGTCCAAGAACACAGAGAAAGACAATCAACACACAGACAGCTCTCTCCTGCCATGGGTGCAGAAACCAGGTTATAGCAAGATTCTGTCAGCTCCTGTTGATACTGTGTCTTGCCATTTCTTTCTCTTTTTTTTGCATTTTTTATTTATATTTAGCAAGTGCCATGTTGTCATTATGGGGTGACAATATAAAGAACAAAGAAAAAAGGGATACATGAAATGTACATTTGAAGTACTATGGTATGTCCATTTGCATATTCATAAATTCATAAAATAGCTTTAGCCAAATTCACAAAGGAACCATATTAATATGAGCTATATTATTTTACCCCAAAGAGTCACAGTAATACATCACCTTATCATAACTATTTGTGAATACCTACTGAGAGTAAGAAAAAAACTTTCCCTAGTGCTGGCTACCCATGCATGCTGGCACACTATGCTGGGCATATGTACACAAGGCACACCTGCTTGGCTTGGGACAGGACCAGAATGGGCTCCAGTATACAGCAGCACAGAAGGATCAGAAGGCTGACAATTGGATTCTTTTTCCACTACCTTGCTATACTTTCCCAAGTTGCCTCATTCCAGATAATGAAGAATAAAGTCACATTTAAAATGTGAGTCCCTGGAGTAGTCACATACTCTTTTGATTAATCTAGTCTGTTACTGTGGAATGTGTGTGTGTGGGGGGGGTCTTCCATTCTGCTCCTGATGCAAGGGAAATTCCAAAAGAAATGGGTTGCATCTCTATTCTTCCAATGGCACTGTCCTCTTCAAATAGATTTCCTTTGGGAATCCTCCTGACTCCCTCCTGGGAGGTCTAAAGCATCTCTAGACTCCCTGCAGTCACAGCATTAAGGCAAGTCTGCCAGTTGCAGTTGACAACACCAGACCAGAGGCTTTCCAGTAAACACTGTGCTCAAGAGCCAAAAGTGAAAGCAAAAGACAGAGACAAACACATACAAGTAGGGACCTGTTGCTCTGCTCATTCTTTTTCCCTCTGATCAGTCTAGGCGGTGGTCACTCAGGGGTTTCATCAAATCTCAGGTGAGCCCTCAAATGTAAGACTGACCCTCAGTCAGTGGTACTTACTTAGAGACCCTCTCCAGTGAGACACCATGAAGCAGATCAATACAAAAGCAAAAGATTTTTTTCCAGACATGTTGGGGTAGACCTTCAATTAGTCCTTCAAGGCAAGTGACTAGAAGGCAACCCCAAATGGCTATTACATGCGGTTTTATACTTTTTAGGGATACAAGCAAAGTTACAGTTCAAACTTACTGGCTAAGTATATTGACCTTTAAATCTATTGGCTAGCAAGTATGGGCAGATCATGACACACATTTGAACTCTTTCTGGGACTTTTCAGTGGGTCAGGTGACTATCAGTCAGAACATTCTACAGTTTTTCTGAGAATTGTTCTGTCAGAGTCATTTCTGGGAAATAGTCCTGGGGCTAAAAGCATGAAATTGTCCCTTGGGCCCAAACACCCTTTCCTGGAGCCATCTCAGGGTTGGGTCAGAGTTGATTAATTTTATGAAGCTAAGGATGATTTCTTCTGGTTCTACAAATTTTCTTATATGTTTAAAATCATTATTAATGGCTTATTAATATTCCATCATATAAATGTACCACATTCTCATTATCTATTCATCTGTTGAGCAATTTCTAGGCTGTTGCAAATTTCTCTGCTGCTATATTTACAAAATTAATCTTTTTAAATATAAATAAATAATTAGTAAGAAAAATGTCATAGCAATATCTAACTTGTGAAAATTTTTCACAGGGTTTATAACATGTTCATTCATTAAATTTCTGGCAGGAATACTGTCACACCTGTAAGTAAGAAAATGATTGAGAGCTCTGTTACAAATATCAGCATATCATAATCCAATTGTCCTGTTGACAAATCCGTAGTTTTAGAAAGAATATCTGTGTCTATATGGATGTGGAACCTATCAGTAATAAATCTTACAGCCTATAACTTAGACAGAAAATAGGAGGTGGAACACTCAGGATTCACAAAGGATTCTGAGATAGTGTCAGCCAAGAGATTCTCCCGGGAAGATGTGAAGAGACAGATACATTATACTGGGCACAGGTAACCAGCCACATGACAGAATGTGAATTAAAATAAATGGTTAATTTTAATTTATAATATAGCCAGAGAAGAGCCTAGTTAAGTAGCCAAATTACTTCTAAATATATTTTATATCTGAATCTTGTTTCTGTCAACCTGAAGCTGGAAGGAACAATGATCAAATATATGTAAAACCTGCCTGCTTCTTTTCCTAATGAACATACAAATAATTTTAGAATTAACACTTCACCAATACATGCTTTAGACTCACACACATCTTTATTGTCAAGAAATTTTCTTTTCAACCTACTTACTCAAAATTAGAAACTGATAATAAACCAAAATATGAATTAACAAAATTATGTCATTATTTAACTTAGTATAGTTACTTATTTCTTTGATCTTTTCAAATATCATCTTTAAATAATGATTCTTAAATGCCTGAACCTCCCTCTTAGCCTACCACACACATCAAGTAGTAGAACAGAAAGGTTATTAGGATACAGGAAAAGTGGCCCTGCTTAGAAATTGTTCTTTGGAGCAAGTCTAATCTGTGGTGTCAGGATATCAGCAGTTCAGTTCACAGGAATCATCAGCACAGCAGGAGCTCAATTCCCTTGCAAACACTTCCCAAATATATCAGCAGTCCAGTTCTTCAGTGTCAGGATAGCAAACATGAATCAGCAGTTGTGTCATGACCTAGCAGAAAAACCCAGGCCTCTGCTGAATTGGCAGGAGTCAGCAATATAAACCATGGCCAGCAGGGACACTAGAAGTTCTTTTTCGTGCCCCTCTCAATGAAATGAAATCAGCAAAGATAAAAACTTGAGAACAACAACTATTGCAAAGCCCCCTCACTCCGTCACTATTTATTGGGTCCTATTTACACTACCTTCAAACATCACCTGTCCTCCCACCAGGTCCTGCCTCACCACGTGAGTCTCTCTTATGAAAACTCCACATGAGTCTCTATCAGCTGGCATCATTCTGGAAATAGACCTTAGTCTGCAGAAGTGGTGAGAATCTACCAGAGGAGCACCAGAAGTCTTTTCTTGTGATACTTTCCATGAAGATCCAACAAAAGATGACCAGGAAAGATAGACAACAAAAACCAATACAATACAGCCTCTTCAGCAAGGACCAACAATGAAAAACAAAATATTGTAAGGTGTACCAATAACCCATAGCATCATACACTGTCTGTTAGGTTATATTTATATATAAAAGCTGTATGATTCACTGTTTTATGGTTGTAACAGTAAGTCATTTTACTACTAAGTTCCTTTAGCATAAAAATAGTAGGCTTTTCCCTAGATCTCAAGACCTAGCTGACCTCAGGTTCTTAGCTATATTATTATAATGAAAGATGGGTTCTAACACATATAATTTCTACTTCATATTCACATTTCTGTTTAAAAAATCCTCTTTTTCCTCTAACATTATCAATTCACACACAATATGAACAATTAAAGAACCATAGAACTTGAACTTTACCTTACATGTTAAATAAACAGCTTATGTTCAATATAGTCAAACAATATTCAAAAAACCTTAAATTTCTATCACTATATAATAATTATGCAAAAAAACTCCTACCCTAAATGATAACAACTATAACATATCAAACAACCAAAACCGTCCACTCCAACTTCAAGTATTGGGATGACAGTCTTCTAATACAATTGCTTCTGGCTGAATTGGAGCGAAGAATTCCTGTTAGTAATCTGTTAAACTCCACCTCCACAGTTACCTGGGAACAGCCAGGTACGCTCCTCCCCACAATTACCTGGCAACAGGCAGGTAACCCTGCCCACTATAAAAGGGGCTGCTTGGCTCCTCTTCTCTCTCTTGCTCCTCTACCCCGCGTGCCTGTAGGTTGTTGTCTCCCCTCCCCCCTTCCCTTCCCTCTCTCTCCATGTGGTCATGGCTGGCCTCTACCCTCTCTACACTTCTCTCTCTCCTGTTGTCCCACCCTCTTAATAAACCTCCCCTCGTGGAACTGTCTAGTCTGCTGTGATGTGTCCAAGCTGCATGTGACCTTTTAATTCCTATTTGTCCAAGCAGAAAAAAAAAGTATTAGTTTTTTTTAAAAAGCTAGCTTGGTATTTTTTGCCCAGTTTTTGTGTTACCCAGTCTCAATGTTGTCTATTCAGTCTCTGTGTTGTCTGCCCATTCATTGTTGTCTGTCAGGTGTCTGGGTTGTCTGTCCAGTTTCTGTGTGATCCATCATATGGGTTAGCAGTTTTGAACTTGACTTGCATACATATTTTGGAGAAATCAGTAACTAAAACAGATAGTCTGTGAAAGTGAATTACATAGGCTATTTTGGTTTGTGAAGACATTCATGTCTCAGCTAATAAAAGATTTTCCCAAGTCAGATCTAATTTTTAATAGGTTTTGTTGGTTACTATATTTTTTCATCCCTGTAGATTCATAAGCATAACCATGTCCCCATCTTAAAACTATTGGAGGTTTCCATTGTAATATCAACATATCCTCATAGTATATATTTGTTGGAATAGTTCCGCAAGTTTTGTTTGTTTGTTTGATTGCTTGCTTAATAACCCAGTGTCTTGAAGCTGTTGTTCTACCCTTTTCACCATTAAGAAGAAATAATAGAGTTAACAAAGCATCATTTAGTCTGTCCCAGAGAATTTCTACTCTACCTTTTATCTAATAAAGATCTCTTTCAAGGTATAATGGGCTCTTTTTTTTATATATAACTGCTTGTCCTGTGGGACTGTGTGATATACCAGTAACATGCTTTATATAGTAACATACAAAGAATTGATTCATCTTATTGGATACATGAGATGGAGCATTGTCCATTTTAATTTGTGTAGGTATCTCCATGATTGCCATTATTTCCACTAAATGTACAATTATACAATGAGCCTTTTTGGAATTTAAAGAAGTTGCCCATTAATATCCTACATGTCAATGGAATGATGTATAAGCCTTTGTTTTCTGAATCTGCAAAATGAAAAACATCCATCTGTAAAATGTCATTTTTTTGGTATCCTTAACATTACTTCTACCAGGTAATAGACTTTGGTTGTTGGAGAACATGTAGGAGTGTGTGTGTGTGTGTGTGTGTGTGTGTGTGTGTGTGTGTGAATGTGTTATTTTTATTTCTTTGGCTTGTTATCAAGTAATAGAAATTGTTTTTATTTAAATCTTTCCCATAAACATGATGTTTCTCATGAAATTTTGAGGTTTCTAACATATTTCCTATTATTAATTGGTCTCATTCTCTTGAGCTAATGGACTGGCCAAATTTGTATGAGATCAAAAACTTGTACTATATAATGGATAGCTTCTACATCTAATAGCTTGTTGCAATGGTATAAATAACAAAGTCAATGCTGAGTTATCAAGTACAAATTCAGCAGTCTCTATATGCAAAACAGCTCTTTCTGCATATAAAAAATCAGTTATTATGGTAAGACATTCAGAATAATCAAATACAAGGATTGTATACAATTCTGATATATCAACTGATATATATAAAATTTTGACCACCTGCTTATTTTATTTGACTTATAACCTACCATACCTATCTTTTTCCACCACTATAAAATGTTGGTGCCTCTGGAATTGTTCTCTCTTGTACATGTCAGAATCAAACTAGTTCTTTTTATAAACTGTATATGTTTCAGATATTTGTTACTAATTTCACACAAATAAGTTCTTTACCAATCTTCATTTATCACCCAAAAAGGTTGTAAGAGGTACTCCAATTTTACCTGGTTCTGGTCCTGAAAATTGAAATAGTCTTGTTCTACTTTTATAACTAATTAAGATACCTTTTTTATATATGTCTTACTTTTTGTTTTTTACTTTGATTATGAGCTAAGGAAATTCATTGCATAATGCTATCTTTGTTATGTTTTATAAAAAGATAGAGAAAAAATGTTTAGTGGAAGGGAGTGCCTCTGTGGGCAAATGCTGAGGCATCCCTTCCCCGCCCCCATCCCATCCCCTAGGGACCAAGGGATTTATTCAAGGCATGGGGAGGGGAGTTGAGAGAGTAGTAGAGACAGAGAAAGATAGAGAAAGAGAGAATAGAGGAATAGAGGAAGACCATTGGCAAGTGGAGAGAGAGTAGAAAGGGGAAAGGGGAAAGAGGGGGAGGGA